GGTTTTGATCGATTTTGGGCCATTTTCATATCTTTTGAAAAAATATGCATTATTTATGAAATATGCAAAATAGGTCATTTTTTGGCTATTTTGGGGCTAAAAGCATGGACTATAGCCCATGGTTTTGATTCATTTTAGGGGTTTTTCACACCTTTTGAAAAAATATGCATTATTTATGAAGTATGCAAAATAGGTCATTTTTGGGCATTTTGGGGCAAAAAACATGGACTATGGCCCATGGTTTTGATCGATTTTGGGCTATTTAATCTTTTTCGTGTGAAGTTTCTTTCTTTGTTCAAAATGAATTGAAAATTGAGTTKAATTAATGAAAATTGTCATGCTTGAGCTAGGGTTGGTATACGTTGAGACTAAAATAAAACTAATGCTGAAAAGAAAACTGGTAACTAATTAAAAGCTAATAAATGAATACAAATTAATTAGTACCAATCTTGTGGTGCATATATTGCATTACGGGATTTATTTACACATTTCTGTTTTATCCATCAGACTTTGATGTCATTACCATGCAGTTTTTTTTCTGCATATTTATCAAAGTAAATGAAAATATCTTTTACGTAAAAAACGGAGACCTTTTGGTTGGATTTATCTTAGTTGTTAAGGTTAACTGAATACATTTCTAGCTACATGTAATACAGTCTGAAGATTGGTTATTCTTTTTGTTACAAAGTTATAGGAGAATTTAAAAAAATGTTTTTCCCGATTACAACGTAACCTCGTCCAGAAGCGCTTGAACGTAAGACTATTGTTCCAGTCGACATCGCTGCAGCGTGGGAAAGTTTCTCTCTTAATCTTTCAATATTTGCGGTGAAACATCTTTTAGGATGGCTAATCGATTTTATGGACTTTATCATTCATTGATAAATCATAGACCTCTTACCTTCGTATGCAAATTTCCCATTTCAGATCACATGACCTTCCCTTTAGAATTGTTCTTTTATGGCGAACATGCTAAAATATTTACACATGAAAGAATCAACTCCCAAGAGTGGCGTCACATGGTCTGAAATGTGTACAACAAACAACGAAGGGAGAGAGGTTTATTTTCCATTTATACTTACGAAATGGGTGGTGGAATCGATTCATAAAAGAAGCAATTAGCTGACTATTATTTCATTATATTCTAAAAAGATAATCCAATAAATAGCGTTAAATACGACGAATGATAATGGAAATAAAAGTCTACAGTACGAGTCTAAACAAGCCGTGTCTATGATGCCTGATAGGCTACACCAGTTACAGAAACCGTGTTTTCTTTTCTTTGCTTTCTTTTTATCGTAATCGTCTCGCCGTTGGCTGTTTACTTGTGTGTTATATTTGTTAACCTGTAGAGAGAAAACAGACGAGAAACGTTACGAAAACTCTTAAACACTTGGTTATTAAACCCTTGGTTAAAATGGCTTGGAATGTTATATCGTGACAAAAATCAAAAATCAACTCCTAAATTCTAATTCGATGTTTGGGCTTTCACTTAGTTTGGAGCCTAACTCTGTTGTGATTGTCCCACGCTGTGATACAACAGCGAAAAGCTTTGTAGACTTAGATATATTCCCTAGGCATCTCCTCTCCTCTCCTCTCCTCTCTTACTACTATGGTAGCCTATGGTACACGTTGGGTACTCTACCGTTGTTGGTGTGAATCCATGGGGAACCGAGCCATTTTTCTGACTATGATCATCAGCCTGTGCTCGAAGTCTTGGAAACTGTGAAGCAAAATCCTCGCTTAAAGGTCGATATCCGTCACATTCTCGTGCCTCTTCCTGAAACACAAGCAATCTAATGTCTTTATAATGAAAAATGTTTCGTGAAATCCCATATGGTCTAGCGGTTAGGATTCCTGGCTTTCACCCAGGCGGCCCGGGTTCGACTCCYGGTGTGGGAAATACTTTTTAACCCCTTCCTATATTTTGTTATAACGTTAAAACGGTATTTTTTGTCGTCACACATAAACTCGTTTCCAATTCCCTGTTTTAGTGGCTGGCCTCTATTATTTCAATGCAGCATTTTTTCTATTCCTTTCGTATTATAACTTAGGCCCCGTCCACACGTATCCGGAAATTTTTGTATCAGCAAATTTTTTTTGCGGATACGAAAGTGTTCGCGTTCACACGCAGCGTATTCAAATCGTTTTCGAATCGTTTTCACTATCCACACGTATCCGGAAATTTCTTGATCCGCCCTGATGCACGCTAGTGCCTAGTCCCTTTGACGGATAGTTTTTTTCATTGAGCATGCGCCAAATCGTGTTTACGTCAGCGTATTCGAAAATTTGCGGATACGACCGTCCACACGTATATCCGTATTCCGAGCGTATTCGAAAATTTCCACTCTGGAGATCGTTTTCGAAAACTTCCGGATACGGATACAAAAATTTCCGGACACGTGTGGACAGGGCCTTATAACACATTAACAGTATAATAACAAAAACATTAAGAAATTATTGAACGAGCTCGAGGTTGAGAAACATATCGTCCTTTTTTAGCGGTGAGCAAAATTAATTGCTTGAGATCGAAAAACGAACAAATCAAGGTATTGTGAACCGTATTCAATTATCGTATTATCATTCAAATTTGTTTTGCACAATCATTTTCTGACAGGTCAAAGAAGTGAGTCATGTTCTCTGCGCATGAGCAGACTTATATTTGCACATGAGCGTTTCAATTTGGGACAGTTTTTTGATTGGTTACCTCCCCCCCACCCCCCCACCGCGCCCTTCCCATGAAGCGAAGCGTTATGGATTATGGCCTATGGGAAAGCAGAGAATATCAATCTTATACGAAGAATGTTAGTTCTTTTTAAATTCAAGCCTTTTGAATATTCCTCATTTTGTTATCTGGTTTCAAAATTTAAAGGTGAAAAATTGCAAAAATATATATTGTCGTGACCAGGATTCGAACCTGGATTATTGCGGCCACAACGCAATGTACTAACCACTATACGATCACGGCTGAACACCACCGCGACAGGTGATGGATAAAACAGTTATTGTATTAATTTAGTTTGTAACAGGTGTAGTTTTATAAAATTTTGAACACAAATAGTTAATGATCGTTTTCGAAAACTAGATTTATTGACCAAGTAAATCCTGTCATAGCGAGGCTGCGCGCAAAGACGCTTTGAAAGTAAGTTTCTCTTTGAAGTTTCTTTTTTAATGGTATATTTTAGTAGCCTGTCAAAGACGATTATTCTCAAAAACGCTTTTATATTTTGCTACACCGAGCATATCCTGTCACGTAGCCTCGCTATAATGCACTTGCCGCACCAAACGTATCTTGACACATAGCCTCGCTATAATGTACTTGGTCATGTCGTCAAATTAAATCTAATAATTATTACTCATTTGATTTTTTTTCCCCCAAACATTTCTTGTCAGGGTAAACTAGTTCAAAATCTTCAAGGGAAGATATATTGTAGTACATACCACATTGTTCTTCCTTCGACATCCTCGTTTGGACTTTTTATTGTGAACATTCTCTAGGTACAGCACCATGGTATATTCAACGAGAACTCCAATGACAAAGAGAAAACAGCCAATCAAGTACCAGTCAATAGCCTTGACGTAAGACACCTGTTCAAACGTGAAATGTTGAAATGAATTAAAATCTGAGTAAGAACAAAAGCAAAAGAAAAAGAGAGTGGTGAGAGTTATGGTTAGTACAGACGTAAATACCTCTACCTACCTACCTTTGGCATGGTGTTATTGAGCATGTTGAGTACTGTAGTTATGGTGAGTACAGACGTGATTCCCAAAGCGATTCTCGCTGCTGTTGATTCTGGTGGTATACAGAACGATATCCAGGATATGATGACGATCAGAGCACACGGCGCATAGATGTGGATTAAAAAGTAACCTGAACGACGCACGAAGTTAAATGATGCTGATAAACGAGACCAGTTACCTGGATTAAAGGGGAAAATGGTAAACATAATTAGGTAAATTTATAGCTAGGCTTATCATAATAATAATAATAATAATAA